GATGGCCTCCAACCTAATTACTAGCAATGGCCTCCAACCTGTTAGCGTTGGCCTCCAACCTAATTACTAGCGATGGCCTCCTCGGATTCTCCACTCCTTGGACCATTCCTTGGCATCGGCACTTTCAAGACTCATGATGGCTTCCCGAAGCCGCACGTCTGCCTTTCCGAAGCTCCCCGGTGCCGCGGCCGAGCGAGCAAGCGAGGTTTTAAAACGGTGATGAAACAGGAGAGATGCGAACATGAAACATGGAGATCAAGCATGATCAATCCATGTCAGCTATATAACCATCTTCCCTTGCTGGGTTACCAAGTTTTTTAGGGATGGCAGGAAGTTGCTTGAAAGGCAAAAGAAGGTCCACCCACACGGAAGAGCAGGCTTTTGGCCACACTGTGATTTGCCTGGATGGCATCCTGTTGGATCGTAACCTCACCATCATCCAGGCAAGATAGAGCCTCAAGAAAGTGAACCGCCGCTAAACAAAGCCATCACACTGCCACCACCCCCACCCAGTAGTGCTCGTTGAGACTTCCGGTGCTCTCGATGCAGATTCACTTCGTTTAGCCTCTAAGCTCGGTGCCCCAGGGAGCAACTCTGGGATCAGCTGCCGCAAGCCTCCTTCCGCGCGCGGGCCCAGCCCGCGCGGCGCCGTACGCAACCTCGTTGCCATCTGAAGCCCCCCGGCAGCCCTCGGGGACCCCTGTGGATCCTAGAGGCAAATTCTGTGAGGAAAGGTGTTCGGGCAGCGCATCTGAGCGTCATGCATGTCCAGCACCCAACAACGAAATTACATGAAATTACTTTACTTCGAGTGATCACCATGACATTTCAATCATTTGTCTTGATGCCATAGTGCCATAGTGAGGAGCATGTTGCCATGGTCGTGAGTATTGTAGTTCTCGATTTTGCTTGTGGGTCCTCGGGTTGTGTGCTGTGGTTGTGTGTTTGTGGTTGTGGTTGTGTGCTGTGTTGTGGTTGTGGTTGTGGTTGTGATTGTGTGTTTGTGGCTGTGTGTTTGTGATTGTGTGTTTGTGGATGTGTTTGCGGCTGTGTGTTTGTGATTGTGTTTGTGGTTGTGTTTGTGGCTGTGTTTGTGATTGTGTTTGTGGTGCTGCTAGTGGTTGTGATTGTGTGTTTGTAGTTGTGGTTGTGGTTGTGCTTTGTGATCGTGTGTTTGTGGATGTGTTTGTGGTTGTGTGTTTGTGGTTGTGTGTTTGTGGTTGTGGTTGTGGTTGCGGTTGTGTGTTTGTGTTTGTGTTTGTGTTTGTGGTTGTGGTCGTGGTTGTGGTTGTGGTTGTGTGTTTGCGGTTGTGGTTGTGTGTTTGTGGTTGTGTTTGTGGTTGTGTGTTTGTGGTTGTGTGTTTGTGGTTGTGTTTGTGGTTGTGTGTTTGTGATTGTGTTTGTGGTGGTACGATTGTGTTTGTGATTGTGGCTGTGTGCTGTGGTTGTGTGCTGTGGTTGAGGTCCGGCAGGGAACACTTGGGCCTGGAGCTCGCGGTTGAGGTCCGGCAGGGAAGCGGATGGTCTTGGTTGAGGTGTGGCAGGGAACACTGGGCGCAGATGGTCGCGGTTGAGGTCCGGTGGGGAACACTTGGGTCTGGAGCTCGCGGTTGGGGTCCGTCAGGGAACACTGGGCGTGGATGGTCATGGTTGAGGTCCGGCAGGGAACACTGGGCGTGGATGGTCGTGGTTGA